GGGAGGGAGGGAGGGAGGGAGGGAGGGAGGGAGGGAGGGAGAGCTTTGGAGGAGGAGGAGGAGGAGGAGGAGGCTTGGAGAGGGAGAAAGAAAGGTCAAGAGACGGAAAGAGTAGGGATAATGCGAGAAGATTAAGAAGTGGCTTGACAAACGAGCGGATTAAGAGCCGCAGTGTTAATGTGGATTCGCCCTCTTCCCATGTCTGCGTTTATCTTTTCTTCTTCTTTTCTCCTCCCTCCTCCTGTCCATACCTCTCATTTCCTGTCTCTCATTTCCTCTCCTCTCCTCTCCCTTTCCTTCCTTTCCTTCCTCTCCCCCCCCCCTCCCCTCCCTTTCCTTCCTCTCCTTCCCCTCCTTTCCTCTCCTCTTCTCTGCTCGCCTCTCTCTTTCCTCCCTTCCCTTCCTCCATTTCTTCTGCTTTCTCTCCTTCTTTCGGTGCTTCGTCGTTTTCCCTGCCCCTCCAGTCCTTCCTTCTTCCCTCGTTTCGTCACTCTTCCTTCACTCTCCCTATCCTCTTTCCTTCGCCTGTGCGCTTGCCTACGTGCCAGTGCCTACGAGTTTAGCGGAAGTCCACAAATAGACAGGAGATCGGGAATGAAAGGGAATGTATTTGTTTGTTTGTTCGTTTTTTTCAACTTCTCGACGATGGAGTAATAACAGGGGGTGGTTGTCGTAACGTGGAGGGGGAAAGGAGAATGAGGAGAGGGAAAGGGAAGAGGAGGAGTATGATACATTAACCTTTTTTCTGATTCCATCTCTCCTTTGTTTTCCCTTCCTATCCTCTCTCTCTCTCTCTATCTATCTATCTATCTATCTCTCTCTCTTTCTTTCTCTCTCTCTTTCTCTCTCTCTCTCTGTCTCTCTCTCTCTCTCTCTCCCTCTTCCCCCTCTCCCTCTCTCCCTCTCTCCTTCTCTCCTTCTCTCTCCTCTCTCCTTCTCCTTCTCCCCCCCATCCCTCTCCTTCCCTCCCCCCTCTCTCTCCTTCTCCCTCCCTTCCTCCCTCGCTCTTTCTTTCTCTTTCTGTCTCTCTTTCACCGCGGTGTTGATTTCCGATTGTCTTTTCAAAATCATTATTATCTTTAATCGTATCCACGGAGCAAGCAGTGGAAGTCCTAGGCTGAAGCACACCTGATACAACAGCATTGTAACTTCAGTGCTTACCGAGGCAAAGGCAGCTCGGGGTTGACTCAAGTAGTATGCAGTTACAGAGAGGGAGAAGAGGGAGGGAGGAGAGGGATGGAGATGGAAGGGAAGAGGGGGAGGGAGGCACAGCGAGAGGTAGAAAGAGGAAGAGAGGAACGGGAGGATGTTTGTGTGTGTGTGTGTGTGTGTGTGAGTGCGTGCGTGAGAGAGAGAGAGAGAGAGAGAGAGAGAGAGAGAGAGAGAGAGAGAGAGAGAGAGAGAGAGAGAGAGAGAGAGAGAGAGAGAGAGAGAGCCAGCCGTGAGAGGCAGACAGGAGGAGTATTGATTACTCCGGCCTGGGTAGGTGGAGGAGCAGGAGGAGGGAAGAGGAGTTACGGGGGAGAGAGGAGGCGGACGAAGAGAGACAGACAAACAGACAGACAGAGACACAGACAGACGAAGTGAAAAGAAGAAAGCGAAAAGGGAGGAAAGAGGAGAGACAGACACACATACAGAGACGGAGAAAAAAAGGAAGAAAGAAAGAGAAAGAGAGAGAGAGAGAGAGAAGAAAATAAAGAGGATGGGGGAAGAGGAATTTGATACAATGTTTCCGAGGTAGGAGCGCACGCAGTAGTTAGGAGAATATTGCAAGGTACTTCAGAGGACATTGACGGCGGCGGCATGCTGTTGGTGACACCCTCCCCTCCCCCCGCCCATTCTTGTTTTGTTTCTTTCCAGGCCTTTGGAGGAACGGGAGGTAGGGGGGGGGGGGTGTACAAGCTGTGTGTATGTGCGTGCGTGTGTGTGTGTGTGTGTGTGCGTGTGTGTGTGTGTGTGTGTGTGTGTGTGTGTGTGTGTGTGTGTGTGTGTGTGTGTGTGTGTGTGTGTGTGTGTGTGTGTGGGCGGGGCTTTGTGGCCAGAGGGGAAGGGGGTAAGGGATGGGGGGAGAGATGGAGGGGATTATAGGTGGAGAGAATGATCCTTCAAGATTAGGATTAGGTGAGAGGAGAGAGGGAGAGAGAGAGGGAGAGAGAGAGGGAGAGAGAGAGGGAGAGGAGAGGGAGAGAGAGAGGGAGAGGGAGAGGGAGAGAGAGAGGGAGAGAGAGAGGGAGAGAGAGAGAGGAGAGAGAGAGGAGAGAGAGAGGAGAGAGAGAGGAGAGAGAGAGAGAGAGAGAGAGAGAGAGAGAGAGAGAGAGAGAGAGAGAGAGAGAGGAGAGAGAGAGAGAGAGAGAAAGGGAGAAAGGGAGACAGTGAGTGAGAGACAGACAGACAGACAGACAGAGGCAGAGGGAAAAAAGTAAGAAACAGAGAGAGAATGACAGAAAGTCCGCGAGCGTGTGTATCCTTGTCTATCTGTTCCATGAATTCCAAGTGCCCAGTTGCTACATAATCAGGTGAACGGCCGCGCATTAACCCGTGGGCGTGTGCTGGCCTGTGTTT